ATGTATTGTCAATGCAGTTACGGAGAATTGTTCTTGTCCATTTTGTTTTATGCGATGTGATAGCTTCAAGGTAGGCAATTATTACTACGGAGGTTTCTTCCGAGGCCTTTCGTATCTAACACTGTGTGAAATGCTACTGCCGTTTCACGTTGTATATTTGCAGTGTGCGGTTGCATATTTTGTGTTTTGCTTATCGTCTCACTAATTTTAAACTACGGAGTGTGCTTATCTGAGGAAATTAATGGAGCTTACATCGATTGTCTTGTGTCTGTGTAGGGCCTGCAACTTCATTTAAGTTCAACTCATGACTTATTTGAGTTCGAGTTCACGGTACGTGATTTTATGGAATTCCTTGTTCTGCTATGTCTTTTTTTTTTAATGAACTTATCTTTAAAAAGGGTCTTTCCTATTGTAGCTTTCGGGAGAATACCAGACAGTTAATGTCTCTGTAAAACTTGATGCATTCAGATTTGAGGTCAGTTAGTTTAAACTTGGTAACTTGGGAAAACCTACAGCTGGTGAAGTTTTATTTAAACTCTATCATTCTTTGAACCAGGAAGAAGAAAATAAATTTGAGCCGTTCTCTTTTTGGTAACTTTCAGTATCCCGTGATATACCTTAATAATAGTAGCAAATCCTCGCTTTTTTTTTGTCAGTACATCTCCATGAATCAAACCATAATGTTTTGCAGCTCGAAACCTCGTAAGCGTAGACAAAGATGTGGTAGAAGAAAGGCCAGGCGACTTAATGTACGCTTTTTACCGCTGGATTCACCCGATTTAGCTAATCACACAGAAAATGGAACCACCCTGCTAAATAATGGTAAATTCTGATATTCTCCTGTGGCTTTGAACTTCATATTGCGGGAGAAGATACAGTATCTTGTTCAGTTTTTTGTACTTTTCCTCGTAAGGGATATATTACCATAATTGATGTACAAATTGGATGGCGTGCTACAGGATACCGTGGTTTAGGATATCCCGAGGCAACATTTGGAATGCCTGGCAACACTCCACCGGCCATAGCTCGCTCTTCTCTGGACTCTGATGCTAAAGCTGTGTTACCAACCGAAGCCGTGGTCCCTGCTACTAAGACAAGAAAGTTATCTGCTGAGCGATCTGAGGCTAGAAGGTTTGTTCACCTTGACAGTCGGTTATTGCGATTTAAATTCCTGTTGCTAGAAATTATTCTTCGTGTACTGCTTTATTAATCTAGAAATGTTCTTTCAGCCACCTACTTCTTCAGAAACGCCAATTCTATCACTCTCACAAAGTTCAGGTGATTCAAGTTCTCTCACCTTACCGTAGCATATTCTTTAAATTGCAAGTTATGATACCTTATCAAAGTATACTTACTCTGGTTTAATAATTCTCATTCAAGTTTGTATTTATGCTTTTCTGTTTGTAACCGTGAGAAGAATTCTTGTCCATGTTGTCTCTGTTTAATGCCACTAACCAAACGTGCATATTTCTGTGGCAAAGCCAATGACACTTGAGCAAGTAATGTCTGATCGGGATAGCGAAGATGAAGTTGATGATGACGTTGCAGATTTCGAAGATCGCCAGGTATTCCTTGATTTTTTCTGCGTTTTCATTGAATGGAACCTACTAAATAAACAAAAGGAAAATCGTATAGGGACGTAACTTGTTAATGACTTTTGAAACTTAAAAAAAGCTGCAGATGCTTGATGATTTTGTGGATGTGAGTGTAGACGAAAAGCGCTTCATGCATCTCTGGAACTCATTTGTAAGAAAGCAAAAGTAAGCTATATATAGTAATCCACCACTGATGATTTTTGCTGTAAATTCCGTACGTTTGTCTTAAATGATTATCGATTATGGAAACTTTTTCCTAGATATGTTGCTCAAATCGAGTTATGAAATTCGTTGCAGGATCCTTGCGGATGGTCATGTTCCTTGGGCATGTGAAGCGTTTTCAAAGTTTCACAAGCAAGAGTTGCTTGGTTGCAAACCACTCTCCTGGTAATCTCTCATTATTTACATAGGCATATAACACATTACATTATACACCAACATCAACATTTGTGTTTTTGTTTTTGACAAAAATATTCAGGTGCTGGAGAATGTTTTTGATTAAACTATGGAATCATGGACTTGTCGACGCAACGACCATCAACAACTGCAATCTCATACTCGAGAAATGCGATAATAACTCAGACAGCAACAACAATAACAGTAGTGTGAACGATCATCAAGATGACATAAACAATAACAAGGTTGACGGTATGGATGTTGACAAGGATGGCAAATAACAACAGAGATAAGTAATAGGAAAAGATCACTCATTTAAACGATGCCGTTTATTCGATTGCAACTTCCTTCTCATTTGAATTGTTTAGGAGCAAACAGAGGTATTTAATTGTAGTCTGCTACTGACTGCATTTGTTGTAGTTTAAAAAGGAGGAATAATTATCCTAAACTGATTTTACTCAATTTTTACAAGTTAAAACTACAAATGGAAAAAAATTTCTGTAATGAACATGAGGAACAATTATCTTTTTATTAACCTAGAACGTGTGGTCTAGTGGTTAAGTAGAATGGATATAAAACTCTGTCTTCTGAGAATCTAATTTTTTTTCTATATACCGAAAAAAGCTGTGGTTTTTTATTTTTTATGTCATCTGCTGTTGGTGATAAAATAACCGAAAGTGAAATAAGCTGATGAACAACTAAATGTCCCCGAAGCCAAAAACCGGCAGACTAAAAAATGTCTTTGAAGCCAACAACCCAAAAAAGGTAAACATTTAAACTACCGAAGATGAAAAAACTAAGCTACAACGTTAGACAATACAAACGGAAATTAGCCGAGATAGGAATTTCAAAGAAGAGTCTTCACACTTTGCCGAGAACAAACGTGAAGACTCGATACACAACAAGAGTCGAAAGAATTGAAAAACCAGCATACATACAGAACGCTGTGGTTTGTTTCTAACTGCTACAACTATTTCAGTATTTTGGAATACCTTAATTCAACAACTTGGAGTTTTTGGACCCTTCATGCCTAAGGCGTTTAACTCAATTGGGTTTTATATAGGCCCATTAATATCATAAGGTCCAATATCAAATTATGTTTCCGCTTCCCATAATTTTAAGGGAAAATCAGCGCGCGAAACTAAATAAATTCGAAAAGCAAATTAAACCCCTCATATTGCAGAATCCTGAG